GCACGCACGCTCGCCCCACACTGCGCCTCTCTCCCCTCTCGGCCGCAGCTATCTGGACACCATCGAGCAGGCGGTTTCCGAAGGACAGACGCTGCTGATCGAGGACGTCGGGGAGACGGTGGAGCCGGTGCTGGACCACCTGCTGGGCAGGAACACCACCAAGAAGGGCAGGTCAGCACACCCTGTTCTCTGGTGCCGAGGAGTTTCACCTGCTCTGAGCAACCACTGCTGCCCTAAAATGCCGATTTATGCCCCTTTGCATGACAGCAGCTGGGGCCTGATCCTTCTGCATGCACATGAGAGTCTCTGGCCACATCCTCTAGTTTTCTCTGGGTATTTCCCAGTGGAGACACTTGTAGTTGATGTGACGTTTTGGACCATTCTGGTCTGCAGAGTCCTGTTCATGTAGTGATTTAAGAAGAGCGTGTTCCCTGGTGCACCTGCAATAAGGTGTGATAAACGGGGAGGGTTCTCTTGGCAGACACAGAAGCTATTCCGTGATGGGGTTTTTGCTGACAATCCTCTGCCCCATCTCCCCTGCCCCACTCGGCGCTGCCAGCCCTGCTGCAGGCAGTGCTGCCTTCCCCAGACACCACCGACCTTCCTGGCCGCGTTCCCCGGGGTCTGGCGAAGGCTGGTCCCCCCCGGGACTGCCAGGACGGGGCTATGGAGCTGCGCCACCCTCCCCTTGTATCGTGGCAGAGTGCCTGCAAGCAGCACAAGCCCAGAAGCCATCCGAGAGATGCAGGCAGCTCCTTCGGCTCCTCCGGCCGTTGCCCTGCCAGGGCTCTTTTGCCACTTCTGCCCTTGCTATGCCTTTTCCCGACCAGAGAAATACATCTCAAGTGGCCGGGAACAGCACACGGTTGAGGGTTTCTGTCTGTGACAAGTTACTGTCAGGTGTAGAGAAATTAATTCGTTTAATTAACTGAACAGATACATTAGGATAGGAGATAAAGAAGTGGAATATCACCCGCGCTTCCGCCTGATTCTGCACACCAAATATTCCAACCCTCACTACAAGCCAGAGGTGCAGGCTCAGTGCACCCTGATCAACTTCTTGGTGACCCGGGAGGGACTGGAGGACCAGCTCCTGGCTGCTGTGGTGGCCAAAGAGCGGCCGGACCTGGAGACCCTGAAGGTACGAACCCAGCTGCTGGCGAGACGGTAGCGGGCTGGGGGACCTGCGGTGGCTTCGCTGGCAGGGAGCAGTGAGGTCTCATCTCTGTGAGCTTGCTGTTGCTTATCAAGAGCGAGTGAGTCCTGATCAGAGCCTGCCATCTGCGTGGGCGGCTGTGGGTCCACCATTGCCCCGTGGAGCCTGGCACTGCCACGGGCACGCTCGCTGCTTCACCCTGCGGGTAACAGTACGTCCCAGGAGGGATCACGCCCACCCTCCTCTTGCATCAGCACTTCAGTGACTTCAAGCATGAAAAACTTGGCTGGTTTCTTAGAGACCCATAGCTCAGCTGACCTCAGTATGTTGCCTGGGCTGCATTTGTGAAGGGAAAATTTATAATTAGTAGAAGATAAAGCCAGCAGAACTGCTGATGGTCCACAGTGTGTTGCATGCAGTTCATTAGGGAGCGCCCAGTGTAAGTCGCGGCGATTGATACCAGAGTCTCGCCACGGTCTCTTGAATGATGCGCGTCTCTCCGGGGCACTGGTGTTGTAGGCAAACCTCACAAAGAGCCAGAATGAGTTCAAGATCAAGCTGAAGGAGCTGGAGGACTCCCTGCTCGCCCGGCTGTCTGCTGCCGGCGGGGAGTTCCTGGGGGACACGGCGCTGGTGGAGAACCTGGAAACAACGAAGCGCACAGCCATGGAAATTGAGGAAAAAGTAAGGACCTACCCCGGAGCTGGTGCCGCGGGCAGCGGGAGAGATGTCCCGGACCATACAGGGCACCCGGCGCTTAGCGGGAGGTTGGGTGCTGCTTCGGCATGTGCCAGGATGCTGGATAACACTCACCTTCATGTGTGTCAAGGTGAAAGAAGCTAAAGTCACCGAAGTCCAAATAAACGTCGCTAGAGAAAACTACAGGCCAGCGGCAGAGCGAGCATCCCTGCTGTACTTCATCCTGAGTGACCTCAACAAGATCAACCCTATCTACCAGTTCTCTCTCAAGGTAGATGTGGAGCAAGGAGGGAATTGGTTTGTATGGGCAGGACAGGGTTTGGGGGATCTCAGAGACTTGGCGTTTCAGCATTTATGCTGCTGACAAAACACCCAGCAGCCCGGGCGCTGAGCTGCCCACCCGGCTCTTCCTCAGGCATTCAATGGGGTCTTCGAGAAAGCCATTCAGCGCACGGCCCCCGACGACGACATCAAGCAAAGGGTGATCAACCTGACGGATGAGATCACCTACTCAGTCTATATGTACACTGCACGGGGACTCTTTGAGAGAGACAAACTCATTTTCCTGGCCCAGGTTGCCTTCCAGGTAATGCGTGCACGTGTTTGGGGCTTCTGTTGTATAATACTGTATGTGAGTTGGTTTAGACAGGTTGTTCTCTTACTTCTGTGCTGCTGCTGGATGCTCAGTAGCTTCTGGCCTGGAGCGCAGCCTCTCGCGCCGAGGCTGTGTGTGCCAGGGCAGTCATGATGCTGCGCTTTCAACTCGGCAGGTCCTGGCAATCAAGAAAGAAGTGAACCCGGTGGAGCTGGACTTTCTTCTGCGCTTCCCTTCCAAGGCCGGCGTCACGTCCCCTGTGGACTTCCTGCAGCCCCAGGGCTGGGGTGGCATCAAGGTTGGTCCACGCGGTCGCCTGCTGTGCCGAGACAATGCCAGCATGGCCCCCAGCGTGGCGGGTCCAGGATCACCTGCAGCACCCGGGAGGGTCCGCGAAGTACCCCTGTCCCCTGAGGCTGGTGAGACCCAGCACGTCCCGGCCCCCGTCAGGGCCTGGAGGACGGCAGCGTGCCGGCGGCACGGGGGTCCGCACTCAGCGCTGCAGCAGGCGGTGGGGACAGCTGGTCAGCTGACCGAGCACCAGAGACAGCCTGTCCCACCACCCCCCTCCTCTGCACATCCCACTCACCCCGGGGGCTGAGGGAAAGCGGAGACGGGCTGCTCACACCAGCAAGAGGAGGCAGCTGGCGAGGTTGTGTCTCGGCAGCATTTTGGACTGTCAGTGTCCCCTGTGCGCCTGGCTCCTCTCCCATGAGCTCGGGGGTGCCCGAGCGATGCCCCGCTGGCCTG